CAGCCACGAGTCAGAGTCTAGAGTCCCTGTCTCCTGGCTTGTCCTCCTCAGCCCCAGAAGCCCCTCCCCACGTGTCCCCGCCACCGGACCCTCCCTATGAAGATGTTCTCCTCCTTCTCGCCAAGGTCGACACCGTGCCTGACCCGCTCTCTGTCCCCCACCCTCGGCTCCCTGTGACCTCGCTCCATCAGGCTTCCTCTCTCCCACTCGTGTTTTCCTCCTTCACGTGGTTGCTACCCTTGCAAATAAAAAGTGCTCACGCTCCCTCACGCCACAGACTCTTTCTCAGCCGACCGCAGCCCCTTCTCCTGCCGAAGTTCTTTAGAGGCTGCTCTGCACTGGTTTCCTCCACCTCCTTGCGGCCCAATCCCGGCTTCAAATAAGTAAACAATTACATGTAAAACTCATACACGTACATGATAAAAATGCACTAAAGAACGTACAACATGGGAAACTGAAACCTCTTCCTGGGAAGGAGAGATGAGTAAGTAGAGCACAGAGGATTCTGAGGGCAGCTGCTGTGTAGTGTGGTACATGCCTTCACACATTTGTTCAAACCCATAGCATGGTCTCCATCGAGAGAGAACCCTAAAGTAAACTGTGGACATTGGGTGATGGTGTGTCAATGTAGGTTCACCAATTATAACAAGTGTGCTGTCTGGTCTTGCTGGTCCAGAGAACCCAGGGATCAAGCACCCATCCATATGCTTCGGGGAGGGAGACTCCGGCCTCGGGGTGAGCATGTGAACCAGGTACAGCCCAGGAATATCAGGGGAGTCTGCCAGGAAAAAGCATGGAGGAGGAACGCCCTGCTTGTGCCCGCCTCTGCCCACTTACCACCTTACAATACAGTGTGTGAGGACGGATGCTCAGAGCGGTTGCGGCCAGCCTGCAACCCCGAGGGGAGACCAGGAGAATCTCAGAGACACTCGCCCCGAGCCCTGGGCCACTGAGCCTCTCCCCACCTCCAGCCTCCCGACAGCCAGGAAAAGCCAACCCCTCTAATCACAACCAGTTCCTTTCTGCCTAAGATATTTGAATCAATAAGTACGGTTAGAGGCTGGAGCGACAGAAACGGGTTTTATATGATGCTTGTTCACACGATGCTCTGACATGTAGGTCCAAGTGCTTTCCCTCGAAACACCCCAGGACCCCACTGGGGAAATCCAATTGCAGCCTCAGGGGAATCCTTCACCCTCCATCTCCCCCAACCATGCCCATCCCAAAGGTGACTGTCTGATGCCCTGTGAGATGTCCTACCGAGGGGTGGGAGAGAGAACATATGCCACTTTCTTTGTGATGCCCCCAATAAAGAGGTTCCTAACAAATTCAAACTAAATAAAGGGCTTAGTTTGGTTTGCCTGATGTGATTAGGTGAAGGAGAGAAGAGGAATAGGGGTTATTCCCTCCCATGAGCCAAGAGCAAGAATAAGATCTGCGTGTGGTGGGACACCTAGAGCTCAAGGACACAGTCTCCAACTTAAGTGACAGCAAGAAACCTCAGAGGGACCTGGGGACTTCAGGTCACCAGCATTAGTGGGTGACACACCACATCAAAACTGAGTCAGGACCTTAGGAAAGGAGGCAACAAGAAAGCCATTCCAGGTATATGGGGGGCTCACTGGAAAGCAGCCTCCACCCCTGACCTTGGTTGAATTTCGGGTCCTTCAAGTCAGGGACCCTCTCTCCTCATTCCTCTGGTCAGTTTGGGACCTAAAGTATCTACCATTCCAAGATGCCGTGAGCCGGAGAGGATGTGTAAGGCTCCTGGCCCTGACCCGGCACTCCGTGGGTGCAGAGTAAATGGTAGCTGTCAGTGCCAATGCGTTCAGCATGGAGCTCTCCCACCAAGAGGTGGGGGGTGAGGAAACAGTCTGACCAGAGTTACTACACCTGGGGTCACAGTCAGAAGTCCTCTGTGGTCGAAGCCAGAGTTAGAATCTACAGGTAGGGTTGGGGTGGGCCTCCTGGTCAAATCTGGAGAGGTCCAGAGAGAGAGCCTCAAACAAGACCAGACTGAAAATAGACACAGCCACCAGGCAGCATCTTCCTGCGTCTGAAGGCTGCTGGCAACGCGGCTCATTCACTTATAGAAGCCTGCCTAAAGGGAAGAAATGGCCGCGATCATGCTAGAAAATCCTTAATTCATCTAACGTTAACTAGACTACAATTTCCTAACAACTGGACTGCGTGTGATTGATTGATCTTTGTGTCTGGCCCAGAATCTGGCCCAGAATGGTGGGTTAGTAAGTGTCTGTGTGGTGGATGCATGGGTGGATGGATAAGGGCCAGTGTGTATCTGGCCTCTGATAATACCGGAATGAAAGCCCTTTCCCTGCCCTCAAGGAGCTCTGTGCAAGAAAAGGAATAAGAAATGAGTCGGGCTCAGCATGCTGTGTGAGCTCAGCTGAGGGGCACCCCATCCAACGAGGAAAAGACATATGTATTCAGGGGTCCTTCCTAGAGGAGTCTGGATCCTGATGCACCAGCTGGTCTTTGATGGGCCAAAGTCATCAACCCTTGCTATGCCAATGCAGCAGGGCAGTCTACACTCTGAATTCTCCACTCAGCGGAAGCCACAGCATTTTCTGAGAAACGGAGCAGACACCCCATCTCTGCCGTCTGTTTGTGTTCCATGTCTCACATAGTCCCTCATGAAAAGTCCTTCTGCAGCGGTGTCCTGTGGCCCTCCACACCCAGCCTCTGTCCCAGGTACCCAAACCCTCAGGAGACCCTGTGCAAACACTCTTTGGAGGTTCACTCCGCCAGTTTACCAAAAACTCCACACCTACACTTCTGAGCTCATCTGAGTCAGCATACTTGACTACAAGGTGATTTAGCATGATGGACGCTGGCCACAGGGATCCCAGCAGGAAGCATGAAAAGAATGACAGATTGCACTGAGGTGAGGAGCGAGTGGGAAGCGAGGAAAGGCCAGAGAGCAAACACAATAGCCAACTTCATGAAACGTGTCTGTTAAGAAAAAAGAATGGAGGCAGGAAAGCAGGGCCCAACGAGCTAGAAGGTGGTGTTTGTGGTTTTTAACAAGGGAGAGACTTGAGCAGTCACATGCTGCGGAAAAAGATTCAACAGAGCGGGAGAAGTGAACCCAGACACTGAGGAGAGCAAGGCTCGGAGGGGCAGCCAGATACAAGGTGTGCTGATGACCGTGGCCGAGCGAGCAGGAGGAGGCAGCTCCGAGGGTCCTGAAGAGACCCTGGCCTCAGGGAGGGATTGGCCACAGGAGTCCAAGCTAAAGGGAGAAAAAGAAGAGGGACGACCCAGACTCTCCCAAGAGTTTATTCAGGAGGGAGATGAAGCTAAGGGCTGAGAAGTCCCAAGCCCTGACCAACAAGTGCCCTGGGCCTGCTGGCCCCACACGTTCGTTTTGTTGGCAGAGATCTCACTTCTTAGCGCCCTCTCTGTGATTTGGAACCAGCGTCTCCCATTTTTCCAGTTAATTTCAGTGATAATTAGAGCAGCTTGCAGGAGTCACTTTTCTTCCCTTGAGAAATCACACTAGGCTTGGGAGTCCACAGACAGGGCAGTCCGTGGAGAAGTCAGGTTGACCCGCCACACCTCTCTGAAGATACTCTAGTTTCCAGTGTGAAACTGTTACTGGATGGGGATGGGCCAGCCGGCAGGAGAGATTCCACAACACGAGTCCAGGTGGATTTAAGAGTGTATTTCTTAAAGCTGGGGACAGTGAGAATTTAGGAGAAAGAAAATAGAAGTTCACACCTGAGCTAAGGCCTGGCCCTGCTCCAGAGAGACCCCCAGCTGACATCCTTTGTCTTGAGGGCGTTTCTCTCTCTTTTGCAGGTGGGAAGGTTTCAGCAGCATATTCATCAGCTTTCTAGGCATGGTTTTTAATATGTTAATGTACCAAAATGAGTGTGTAGAGGGACTAGGGTCATTTTCTGGTCAGCTTTGCCTTATCTTGGATTTGTTTTAGTCTGATTGTTTTTGTTGTTGTTGTTTATTCTAATGACACTAATGGGGTCTCTGTTATCTACCTCCCGGACCAGCTGTGACTTAAGCTATTTACTCTCTGGTTAGGGAGGAGAGGTGTAAATTATTTGCTCCCAGCTCCTTGGTTAGGGAAAGTAAGAAGATAAGATCTATGATTTACTAGCTCAGCTGTAAATTGCTTAGCTTGTTTGTCTCTAACCATATGTCTCAGTTTCCCTTTTCCCACTTGTAAAAAAAAAAAAATTCTAACATCTAACTATTCTGCCTCAAAACTTCCTGTGGAAAGGATGACTCACTTTGAAAGGAGATGGCTATTCTTCGGTTTGCTTATGTAACTTACTGAACAGAGAAGGGGTCAGAACTGACCTGGGCCAGCAGCCTTTGGCCCGCCTACCGGGGAGCATGGGCAGGCACCCCAGGGCAGAGCATTACCCTGCCCAATGTGGACGACAGCTACCGGCACAGCTGCTGCCACAAAGGAATGAATACAAGCTGTTTCGTCAGACCTGACTTCTCAGAGAACTACAAGACCAGACTCTATTAGGAAATCTCCAGATTTTTTAAAGGTTGTAAAATCATTCCATCGAAACACTCACCACAACAAAACACCCTGTGCAGGCTAAGAAAACAGCCCTGGGAGCAACCTCAAGACCAGTCACAATTTTAGTTTCACTTCCTGTAAGGAGATTTCAACCCGTCCTATTTCTTGAATAATTCTGTTTGCTCACTCGTTTTTAAAACCATCTGTCCCGCAGGGCAAACAAAGATTTTACAGGAGGAGGGCACTGCCAGGTCACTGGGGGCTCAGACGCCTCCCTGGGGCTGGTCTGTGCTGTGGGAGTGTTCTGACCCTGCTTCCTGCCAAAGAGCAGGGGCCACGAAAGCTCTGAGACAATGACACCCCGAGCCCAGCCACTGATGAAACGCAAGTATGCATTCCTTGGATTCCCTGGGCGGTGAATCACCTCAGGGTGTAATGACTGTGGGGCTGTCCCTTTAAAAATCAAGCAGGCTAGGCTCATTGGGCAAACTCCTCCTCCGGGGAGGTTCCTTTAAATGCGGGCCAGCTAGCTGACCGGGCCTCCGTTCTTACTCCGAGTGGTACCTGCCCAGGAGGCTCCCCGCCAGGATGCAGCCCACCTGCACGGCCGAGGAGTTTGTGGACAGCCACCTCAAGCCTGGGAGGATGGTGCTGTTCATGAAGCCCACCTGCCCCTTCTGCAGGCGGGCCGAGGAGCTCCTCTGCCAGTACCCCTTCAAAAGAGAGTCGTTGGTAATTGTGGATATCACCGTCACCAGGAACACAGAGAAGATTCAAGATTATTTCCAACAGCTCACAGGAGCCAGAACGGTGAGTCTGGGGTGTTGTTCTAAAAGGTCGGGTGTGTGTGTGTGGCAGGAGAATACCCAATTCTTTTCTTGTTAGGGCCCTGAAAGGGTATGCCTGTGCTTTTCTCCAGGACACCGCTAGGGCTCGTCAGTCGCTTGAGGCTCCGGGAGGGGCACGGGGTGGGGGGGGGGGGGGCAGAGAAGAAGACACTGCTCCCTTGAATGGGCAGCGGGACTGCAGCCAAGGGCCCAGTGTGCTGGGTGTTGGGTCCCTGGGTCCAGCAGCTGTGAGGAGGGAGCCGGAGTCTTTGTTTCAAACATGCTGCTAAGAGTTTCCAGCTTGCAGGGCTGGGGTGGGCGGTGGGGTGAAGGGGCCAAGTGTGATCTGTACATTTCTGTTGTCCACATGAAGATCTTGTGCGCTCTGCTGTTTTCACGTGGCCAAGTGGGATTTGCTGCCCTTCGGTCTTTTCTCTAGGCTCTCTTTAACATTAACCTAACGTGCTCATTCTCCCTCATCTAACTCCACCCACTGGAAAAAATCTAATTCATAAAAATGGCTTATTATTTGCCCCTTGTTCTACATTATGGGGTGTTTTTAGGCCTCTCAGAGGAGGAAGTTCAGAGACCAGAGTTCCGGCCGGGCTCTCGCTGTGTGATCCTGGGCAGGTCACCACCTCTGTGGTCAAGGACTTCCTCACTGCAAGGCTAGAGCAGCCAACTTCTGCATTTCCTTTGCTATGAGTGGACTGAGGGACCCTCTAAGACAGCGGTTCTCAACCTGTGGGTTGCGACCCCTTTGGCGGTCAAACGACCCTTTCACTTGGGTCGCCTAAGACCATCCTGCATATCGGATACTTACATTACGATTCTAACAGTAGCAACATCACAGTTATGAAGTAGCAACGAAAATAATTTTATGGTTGGGTCACAACATGAGAAACTGTATTTAAAGGGCCAGAAGGTTGAGAACCACTGCAAGAATTGCTGTCCTCTATCTGAAAAGGCTTCTTGTGGGGTGCCCACCCAACCAGGCTGCCTGTCTCAGTCCTGGTGCTGGCTGGGGTGAATGGTGTCCCACCAGCTCACCCAATTCCCTTTCCAGATACACATTCTAGGGCTCAGGGTTGCAGAAGCACATATCCTAGTTCCATGTGAGTTTGGCTTACCGGGTTTTCTCTGGGCTCTCGGTGAAAATACGGAGGCTTTCTCCCTGTCTCTCCAGTGAGAAACCAGCGCTCTGGTGCAGAGGGAGGCGACCTGGTTCCCCCTTGCTTCCAGGGCCCCAGCTGTGGGCTGAAGACTCCCGTCTCTGGGAGGTCCTGGGGCAGAGAGACTTGCTGCTTGGCTGTCCCCCCCCCCCCCCCCCCAGCTGTCTAGGCGGCTGGGAGAGGAAAGAGTCAGGCAAATACTGCCAAGGCCCTCTCTGTGCTGGGTGCTCTTGGCCAGTGGTTCCCAAATGTTGCTACACATTAGAATCACCTGAGGAGCTTTAATAAAAAATAAAATCCCCATGCCCACGTCGTATCCCAAACCAATGAAATCACCGTGTCAGGGCTCAGTAGTTTTAAAGGTCCCTAGGTCAAAGGGTACAAACTTTTAGTTGTGAGTAAGTTCTAGGAATCTAATGTTCAGCAGGGTGACAAGTTAATAATACTGTATGTATGCTTGAAATTTGCAAAGAGAAGAGATCTTGTTCTCACCGCACACACAAAAATGATAACCGTGTGAGGTGATGGGTGTGTTAATTGTGGTAATCATTGTAGTGTCGACATAAGCAAACCATGATATTTCATACCTTAGTATATACAATTTGTCAATTGCACTTCATGAAAGCTGGGGGAAAGTTTTATTTTCTATCCAAAGAAAAGATCCCCAGGTAATTCCAATTTGCAACAAGTTTTGGGAGCTACGGCTTTCAGCTGGGCAGCATCTGTTCTTTACAGTAGAGACAAACCTCTTCATGCATGCACCAACACTTTTTTCATTTCTCTGTAATGCAATGATTTTTCTCCTAGTGGTCTTTTACATTTGTCTTTCAATTAAAACAGTTTTTCACTGCTTCCTCCAAGGGGAAGAGCACATCCCTTAGAGCTGGGTGCTTTCTGATCCCCCACAGCGATGGGTCTGTGCTGGGAGAGATTGAAATCTTGGGAGCAGTTGCTATCTGACCCTGTACTGGCCCCAGGTGCTGTGCATTCAGGAAGAGCCCAGCAGGACTTGATTGAGTCCAGAAGTGTATGCCTTCAACCAGGCCTGCACCTGGAGAAACCCATTTTGGTTTTGCTACAGCCCCCCTCTCCTGGATCAGTGCCGTCATTTAGTCCAGTGGTTCTCAACCTTGGCTGCACATTAGAATCACCTGGGAATCTTTATAAAATCCTGATTTCTGGGCCTCATCCTCCGGAAATTCTGTTTCTTTGTTATGGGGTGAGGCCAAATTAGTAACAAAGAAACAGAATTTCCGGAGGATGAGGCCCAGAAATCAGGATTTTTAAAGAGATTCCCAGGTGATTCTAATGTGCAGCCAAGGTTGAGAACCACTGATTTAGTCCTTCTCTGAAACTCTTCTTCACATAGATTCAAGTTTCTGACCTCTATCATTTCCCTTCTCTCTGAAGAACTTCTTTAAACATGTCTTGCAAGGCAGGTCTACTGTCAAAAAATTCCCTCAATTTTCATTTGTGTGAGAGAGTCTTTATTTCTCCTTCACTTTTGAAGGATAATTTTGCTGGACACAACAAATATTTTAAAGCACCCATTACATACGAGGCACTTTTCTGGCCATTGGAAACACCTCCATGCGCAGAAGAAACAAAAACTTCGCCCGTGTGGAACTTACACTCTAGTAAATACAATAAATAAAATAGTACGTTGGAAGGTGATAGGTGGTAAGTGGTAAGGAGGCCGGGAGCAGTAAGGTAAAGTTTTAAATGGAGCCGTCGGGCCCTCACTGTTTTGACTAGATCTCTGAAGAAGGTGAGGGGGCAAGGCTCACAGAAATTTAGGAGTAAGAGTGATTCAGGCGGGGGGAATAGCAAATGCAAAGGCCCTGCCTAGGCCAGAGGTGTGCCTGACAGGGAGGCCTGTGTGGCTGCAGCACTGGTAGCCGGCGAGGCAGGAGGAGGAGCCGAGGTCTGAGAGGTAGTCATGACCCGGACTGGTGGTGTGAGATGAGCAGAGGGGTGCCGGGATCTGCCTTAGTTTTGGAAGAGCCACTCTGGTGGCCGTGAGGAAGAGACTGGAGGAGGGCCAGCCTGGGAGTTGAAATGCAGACATCTGGAGGCTACAGCTTTAATTCAGATGAGACATGACGGTGGCTTGTACCAAGGACAGCCTAGGTGAGTGACTTTGGCTGCATCCGAGTAACCTTACGGCACAGACAATACCTCCTAGCTGAGGCTGGGGGCTGGAGACACTTACTCCTCGTACCAAGCTTGCTTATGGTAGGAGTTGTCTTTCTCCTTCTTGACAGTAACAGACTCAAGTTCCCCAGAAACGGGAATGGGGCCAGGACGGGCAGGCACTGAGGGGGCCTCTTCCTTCCTCAGCTGAATCAAGTTTCCTGTTTTGCCACCACAGACACACACACATACACACGGGTGCAGCTTGTAATTCAGCTTTTTTGGAGGTGCTGGTACTGGTGCTTTAAGGTGGTTTTGGGGCTGCGGACACTAGAGGGTGGGTGTAGGAGCAAGGGGGCCTTTTGGCTCTCAGGCCCACCAGCTCCCTTGCCAGAGGGTGGACACAGAGCTCCACCCTGGAGACAGCTGATTGGGTTTCAGGCCTGTCTTGGACATCTGGAGGCTGCTGGAGGCCTGGGCGTTCTGAAGTCTCAGTTACCCTGGGAGGAAGGAACAGATGCTCAGTGTCAACCAGTCGTTGCAAACACGATCCCTGCAGCAGCAGCATCACCTGGGAACTTATCAAAAAGCAAATTTCTGGGCCCCAACTCAGATCTCCTGTATCAGAAATTGGGGGTAGGGGGGGGCGTGTGTAGAGATCTGTGTTTCCACAGGCCTGTTGGCAGGTGGGTTGCACATTCCACTGTCTGAAAAGAGGACTCCTGGTTTCTCAGGACTCCTACTGACTTACCTCACACCCTTCTGGCCCACACCCCACTCAAAGGTGGAGCGGTGGCAAGCTGCAGGAGTGGTGACAACTGCTCACTTCTTTTTGCAAAGACAGAAAAACTCTAGAATGCCTACATCTCTTCCTTATACAATATAAAATAATCTAATATAAAAATCAGGCGATCTGTATTTCATTAGGCCCTGCCTCCATGGGAGTTCTGCAATATATTAGAACTACATTAGGATCCTGCTCTATTTACTGTTACAACTGACCACAGCCGAGTTTTCCTGGGGAGACAGAAGCCAAAAGGCCCCAACAATTTGTGAGGGAAGCTTTATTTTCTCTGAAATAATGGCAGGACCTAGGGGAGCACTTAGGCTTCTGACCTCAACTCTCTGCGGCTATTCTTCTCTCAGCCTCAGAAAAGCAATGCTGCCTGGATGACACTGTCCACCTGCAAAGCCCCACCCAGGCTGTGCTGCAGGTGGAGCAGGCAGCACCCTCGGAGGCTTAAGAAGACAGCACCGGGCTTTCTCTCGGGAATGCAGCCCGGAGTGCTCTTGCCCACTCTTGGGGCACAGGAAATATCTGGACTTCTTAAAAAACATTTGGCCTTAATTTTTAAAGCCCACTTCCACCCAGACTCCCCGCCCCCTTTATGATTTCCTCAAAAAAATTTTTTTACTGTAATTTTATTGATTTCAGAGAGGGAGAAGGGGAGAGAGCTGGAAACATCAATGAGAGATAATCATTGATTGGCTGCCTCCTGCACGCCCAGGTATCGAACTGTGACCTCCTGGTTCATAGGTCGACACTCAACTATTGAACCACATTGGCTGGGCCAGATCCCTTCTTAATCAACATCATGTAAGGACTTACCTAAAGTAGCCCCTTTTCTCATCTCTCTCACTTTTTAGAAAGTTCACTTGAATTACTATGGCTTCCGAGGAAAGCCGAAAGCTTTGAAAATATTCTTACCGCCTCTTGTCTGTCACCTCTCCTGGCGTGTTCCTGGTGCTCAGGAAGAGAGCCACCACACAGGTGGCCGATACAGTGCTCACTGCTTCACGGCCAGGCAGCCTTTCTGTAGCGGTGCCCTTGGCCTGGAAGTTGTCCAGGCCACAGTGAGAGGACTTCTTCCCCCTTCAGGGTCCCCAAAGCCCTCTGGAATTCTGGAGCGTGCCTGCTCCTAGCAGCAGGGAGGGAGCCTGCGTGTGACTGGAGATGAAGGAACTCATCAGGTGTAATGGCTGCATCAGTGTGGCTTGCCTTGGGTGACTCACCGTTGCAGGTGTGAAACTAAAGCAGAGGAACGGCCTTGGCTCCCAGGACAGCAGCACTTACACATCCTAGGATGGGCCAGGAATTGAAGGAGACTTGACACCACCATGCCTTCCCCGGCTGAGGACAGAGCTCACAAAGGAGAGAGCTGACTAATAAATGGCGGATCTAAAAATCAGGCGCAAAGACCTAATGCAAATACGTTGCCAGCTGTATTTAGAAACAAACTCCTTCCTGCTTGCCATGCTCACAGTAAGGGCTCAGAAGTGGTCCCAGCTGCACAGACACCAGAATTCAGTCAGGGTGGTGATCTAGCTGTAGCCAATCAAAATTCCCTCCCAGAAATGTGTTTCTGTCGAGTAAAAATTTTATTTCATTTTTTAAAAAATATATTTTTATTGCTTTAAGAGAGGGAGGGAAAGGGAGAGATAGAAACATCAATGATGAGGGAGAATCATTGATCTGCTGCCTCCTGCATGCCCCACACTGGGGATCGAGCCCGAAACCAGGACATATGCCCTGATCTGGAATCAAACCATGACCTCCTGGTTCATAGGTTAACACTCAACCACTGAGCCAGGCCAGCTGGGTTGTAGAGTGAAAAGTTTAAATCACTGACAAATTAGACAATCTCATGCACAGCATATTCAATCTGAAAGATATCGTGGTTTAAAAACATTCTTTAATGGATAATTTTATCCTTAGAATAAAATTTTGTCCTGTAAGAATACACTTGAGATTGTAAAGTGATTTGAAAAGCTGGGATTGTGGGAAATATTTAGAGGGAGGGTAACATGTCATTCTTGCTAAGCTAATAATTAAGTTCCTTAAATGTCCTTTGCTTTTTTTAGGTACCTCGAATCTTTATCGGTAAAGAGTGTATAGGTGGATGCAGTGAACTACAAGAGATGGACAGAAGTGGGGAACTGATGGTGCGGCTAATAGAAATGGGAGCTCTAACGCCATAATTACAGGTGAGTCCCAGGTAGGATGCTGGACCGGGAACGCTAAGAGATGGTGGAATTCTACTGCCATGTTTTATCATAATCTGGGAAGGCTAGGGAAAGGATGGTTTGGAGTGATCTGAGGAACTGTAATGTCATTTATTAACTTCCCTTTTTACAAAGGGATTGTGCCAATGGGAGACATCCTTTCACTCAACCTTCATTTCACAAATATTTTTTGAGCATTTACTATGTGTGAGACACTATACAACGCAGTGGGAATATAGTGATGAACAAAAAGATAACATGAACCTTATATTCTAGAGAGGTGGACAGATTAAAAATAAGTAAATAATTCCTGAAACAAATGAATAGACTACTGCAGGGGTGGGCAAACTTTTTGACTCGAGGGCCACAATGGGTTCTTAAACTGGACCGGAGGGCCGGAACAAAAGCATGGATGGAGTGTTTGTGTAAACTGATATAAATTCAAAGTAAACATCATTACATAAAAGGGTACGGTCTTTTTTTTTTTTAGTTTTATTCATTTCAAACGGGCCGGATCCGGCCCGCGGGCCGTAGTTTGCCCACAGCTGGACTACTGTGATAGAACATGGCAGGGGTGGGGAAGCTAATTTAGCTAATAAGGTGAGGGAAGGTCTTTCTGAGAAGGGCTGGTTGGGTTGAGCTCTTGTGACCGTCATGTAAAGATGAAGCAGGAGAGCTTTTCGACAGAGGAAACAGCAAGAGCCAAGGCCCTGAGGTGATCAGTATAGAAAATTCAAGAATGAGAAAGCAAGGAAGAGCAGACTGAGTACAGTGCAGTGAGAAGGGAGAGCAGTAACAAATGTGGGCAGGGGCCAGAGCTCACAGGCCGTGGTAAGCAGTTCAGATGATAATAACTGCAATGTGAAATGAAGGTAATGTTTGCTTCACCTGTGTTCACACTGCAACTCAATTTCAATTAAAGGGCTTCCCAAACACCAAAATGAAGTTTTCTAAAATGGTAGCCTAAAGCAGCGGTCGCCAACTGGTGGTCCGCAGACTACTGGTGGTTCGTGAGGTCTGAAAGGTTGGCCACCACTGGCCTAAAGGATATTCTTGGCTGAACAGAAAACCATAGGGCAGCGAACCCTTTAGAAAGGAACCAGGATACTTCTGGGGTCTGATGGGCCCCCTTCCTCCCCAGCTCTTCTTAGTGCTAGCTAGCCTCCAACTAGTCCAGTTCACAGACTCAGACACAGACCTGGGGGTTTTTAGTCAAAGGAGACATTTATGGTTCTTAAGCCAAAATGTTCTTTGAGGGGTATTTATTGCCCAATAATTAATAACTTAGCCTTGAGCAATGAGTATATATACTTTGTGGTGGTTACTCAGAATAGCAACTATAACAAAAAGAGTTCTGAAAAAATACAAATGAATCCTTTGAAATAAAAATCACTATTATAAACTTTCTAGACAATTCTTTGACATCATCACAGCAGGTGAATACTATGTCTGTTAGCTTTTCAGCCAAACCCCATATACTAAAGCTCTCAAAACTCAATTAATTGGGGTGCCAAATGTTTTCTATTCTAGAACACTTTTCTTTTTTTTTTCTTTCTTTCTTTTTTTTAGCAGTGTAGGCTTAAGAATGGAAGAAAACAAATGACTTTCCTGGGAATATGGGAAATACCATTTCCCCAACTATTAGGGTCCCCATATTCACAAGGCCTCTTTATTTGCATTGCTCTTCAGCGAGATACGCTCTCAGTATTTTGCTGACAGATGCTTTCAAGGCCACCTGTAATGGATTGTGTTTGAATAACAGGAGTACGTGTTCTGGTGATGAAAGAGAACTAAGGGGAGATCACCTTTCCAAGGAAATGTAATTATTTGTATTTTTTTTTCCTGGCAGAGCAGACCCAGGCTGATGTCTCCCTTGAGAGCTGGATGGCATTGTGAATGGTGGCAGCACTTCTGGTGGATGGATCTGGGGTGACCTTTACCCAGCAACTGATTACTTAATCTTCTGAAATATCTGAACCAAAAAATGGGAGAGTTCTCAGCAAAAACAGGCTTTGCTTCTTTCAACTCTATTGAAAGTGGACCCACTTGCCACAAACCACAGGTCTGAGATGGTGGATGGACATCTCGGGTTTCTTCCGGATTGGCCCGTGGAATAGACCGTGACAAGTTATAGCTCAGGATTCCCTCATTGACCCAAAAAAGTTCTTTCTCTTTTGCACGTGGTTCTTACTATCGTTCGTGTGCCAGGACTCCTACCGCTAAGCCAGTGTTTCCCAACCAGTTTATCCCAGGCTCCCTAGGATGAACTGATAGTTAATTTTATGCTACTGCCCAAAAATTAGTTTGTGGAGTTTGAATTTATAGTTTGTATTTTGAAATCGATAGGTATTTCGAATGTGCTTTTCCAAATTCCATGTGTCTCCCCTATCCTATCTTGAAAATCACTGCTCTGAACTTGTGTTCTTAAACTTGACAACTCACAGACGTCATAGAAAACGCCCAACAATTCTGGGAAGGGTCTGAGGGCCGATGTGAGAAGTGCCACATGAAACGTTAAGCACAGTGCGTCTTTCCTTGGTCTACAGAGCTCAGAGGTACACGTGCAGATGCTGTGATCATGTGGCAACACTGTTTGGTGAGATGATCGCCCAGGTACTCCTGCACAAGTGTGTATGAATTCGTTTAGATGATGAACAAAAGTTAAATTTAAAACATTACCATAAAAATTTTGCAACCCCCCTCTCCCAAGACTGTCTATGAAAGTAGCTCTAATTGAGAAACACTGTCTTAAATGATTTTAGCACCTTTTATCTCACACTCTATGAAATCTTAAGAATCCCTTATTATGAAGTTTGTTCTAGAATTACAAGATTAACTTAACATCCTTTTGCAGTCTCTAGAGTGAAAGGTTAATATGTTTTGGTAATAAAAAAGCAGTCACAGATGACTGACTTTTTTTGTCCAATTCTATGTTCTCAAGTCCTTAAGGAATGATATTAATGTGAACACGTCAATTTGAAGCTTTATTCATGTTTGTCCCCTGCCATTATAAATAAAGGTAATGCTATTCACTGAGAACAAATGGTTGATGTGATTTTTAAAATTCATATTGAAATGACAAATAATTTGAATATGTCAACACTAGCCTACTGAATAATGTTTAGGGTTCAATAATTCTTTTTCCATTTCACATTCCATGTTTCAATTTCTCACCAAATGTCCTTGTACTTTTGGCTTCCTCTCCTTCCCTTATGGGCCCTGGCCACTCCCTTCGACAAGACTGTGGTGGGAGGTGCATACTGTGCCGGTTACTCACTGTGCAACTATGAATGCCACCCCCTGGAGGTTGTGCAGTGTGCAGCCTGCACAGCCCCTGATCCACTGCAGACCACTCACCTGCACTTGCTTTCACACCTCTGTGTTCTTGCTCATTGTGTTTCTTCTCTTCCGCTCTACTTTCAAATTCCTCCTTCAAGACCTCATTTACAGATGATCCCCCCTGTACATACCCTCTCGTCTCACTGCCTTTTTTTTTTTTTATTAAAAGCAGCTATTATTCCCTCTTCTATAATCCTAAAGCACTGTGCATTTGGGTACTTGACAACTCTCCTCAGGTTGTATTGTAGTTGATCATCTGTACTGATCTCCTGCCAGATTCAGAAATACTGTACTCAAAGACAAGAGCCTGGACTCTAACGTTGTTGCATGCCCAGTTCCAAGCACAGAAGTTCTGTGTTATCAAAGCAATAGCTGCATGTGGTTTAACGTGTCAAATGATACCAAAGTCTTTCCTCTCTACCCCTCCCAAACCCTAGTCCTTGCCACACATTTATCAGTTTCATGGGTATTTAATCCTATTTTAAAATATCATAAAATGAATTAAACATATATTAGAGTGTAAGCAGGCAGAGTCCTATTTAAATTAACACCTGGATATCTACCTTCTGAGTTAAAAAATAGAGCAACCATACAACAGTGTTTCTAAAGAACTGACAAAGTGCCTGAGAGGCCATGTGCCCCTTCCCAACGAATCCTTGCCTTCCTCCACAGAGCAGTCTAGGTCGTGTCTGCTGTACTCATTCCGGTGCTTCTCTTTATAGTTTTACTCCCTACAACACCCCTAAGAAATACATTTTAGTTTTGAAAAGCACAGAGAAAGATAAGTATCACATGATCTCACTCATGTGTAATTGAGTGAACAAAGTAAACTGATGAACAAAAATAGGTCCAGAGACATAGAAGCATGGAACAGACTGTCTAACCTCAGAGGGAAGGCGGGGGAGGGTGGGTGGGAAGAGATCAACCAATGAACTTGTTTGCATGTATGCATAACCCATGAACACAGACAACAGCATGGTAAAGGCCTGGGGTGGGGGTGGGGGCAGCTAGAAGAGGTCCATGGGGGAAAGGGGGGGACATATGTAATACTTTCAACAAAGATTTTTTTTAAAAAAAGAAAGAAAAGCAATAGCAAACACCACCGTAACTGTGTAAGAAAAGGGCAATATCCTAGCAATCAGATGAATGACCCTGAGAGGAGAGAAGTTGAGCAGAGGCTCAGCTTCCCTGGAATTGACCAGAGGGGTGGTCCTGAGTGAGTCCCTGGGAACACCGGGCACCCGGTTGGGGAGGCTATTGTGTGAGCAGGGAATATATGGTCAATGGAAGTGGGCTGCTCTGCATTCTTTGCTTCCATGGCCACCTCCAGCTTTCAGGAGCAGGTCAGAACAGGTGCCTCTTCTGGGGTGGGGGACACTCCCACGCCCTCTCAGCTGGCTAGTGTGCAATGTGAACAGAACTGTCATTAGCACAAGGCAAGCAAAGTACAGATAAGGATCTGCTTCAGGCTCATTTGGGCATTCTGTCCTCGTCCAGCTAACACTCAGGCAGATATACACCTAAAGAAATTAGGGGCAAATGAGCAGATTGTGTCTTTCTTTTTTTTAGTCTTTTTCATTTCAGAGGACCATGTGTCCACCATATGTTTAAGAGAGAGGGGATGGGAAGTAAACTTTTTGAAACCTTGCTTGTCTGAAAACATTTGATGCTGGTTTGACGGCTCCTAGTGGGAAATTATTTTCCTCCAGAAGTTTGAAGACACTGCTCATTGTCTTTTGCTTTCAGCATTGCTGTTAAGAAGTCCGAAGCCATTCTGAATCTTAATCCTTTGTGGGTGACCTATTTGGTTATCTTATTTTATATTCTAGAAGCTTAGGAAATCTTTCCTTTGAGCTCTGTGCGCTGAACTACCACAGTGCTGTGCCTTGGTGAGGGTCTATTTTCATGTATTATGGGGGCTACTTGGAGGTTTGGAGGGCCCATTGGAAATCCTATTGGATTACTTTGTGGATACTTTCCTCCCCTCCATTTTCTCTGTGTTCTTTCTGGAACTCCTAGTAATCAGATACTGGCTCTCATGGACTTGTCCCTAATTTTTGTTTTATTTTCTTTCTAATTTTATCTTTTTTTCCTGATGGGTTAACTCATCCTTATCTTATCATTTTTCTATTGAGTTTTTAATTTCTGATATCATGTTTTTAATTTTCAATAGCTCTTCAATGTTATCCAAATGTTCCTTCTTTATAGAATTGTTTTTGTTTCATGAATGTAGTACCTTATCTCTCTGGTGTTATCATGATCTTTTTGTTCCCAATTATCATTTTTTTCTTCTTTCCATGAGTTCTCGTTGTTCTCAGTTATTTCCTTCTTCATGTTTTATAGATGCAATCACTTATTTCATCTCTCAAAAGATATTAATTACAGTTGAGGTTTTTAAAAAAGCTGTCTTCTGATTCCTGGATTCGCCCTCTTTTCTCTGAGTCCCTATTTTCTATGTCTGCTTTACATTTGAAGGCCTCCCAATGTTCTGCATTGATCACTTGAGATCTGGTTGTCTGTAAACATTTAAGAATGACACACAAAACACTGGTTGGAAGACCTGTATGTGTGGATTGGGCTTGTCAACTGGTGGGCTTCACCCAGAGTCTTTGTTGAAATGTTACTTTCTATGCAAGGCCTTCCACATGACTCAATTTAAAAATATCACTGGAATTCCCCATGCTTCTTGCTTATTTTTCTCTAATTTATTTACCACCTAATATATTGAATACTTTACTTACTTATTTTGTTTACTGAGTGTCTTTACCCCTCAAATGGAGGCCCCTTGAGGCCAGGAATGTGTGTCTGTTTATTTACTGCAGTATCTACAGCATGCAGAAGACTACCTGCACATAGTAGGCACTTGATAAATATCTGTTAGGTGTTTGAGTAAATTAATAAATGAATGAATGAACAGTCAGGTGCAGATCCCCCAACTGTTAGTACCTGGACATTTTTCAAGCCCTTCAGTTTCTCCTACTCCTTGGCCAGAGGGTTGGGTCTTCCTTCAGTTCTGGCTGCCAAACTAGGGGGGGGGGGGGAAGGATTTTGGCAGCCCCTGGTCAGTGTACAGACTCTCCCAGAATCTTCTGTTTTCTGTCGGCTTCTTGCAAAGTAATACCATGTGAAATACAGGGATAGAAAAGACTATAAGCCAAGAGAAACTGGCATAAGAGGTTGGCAGAGGAAAGCAACAATAACAACAGGCAAAAAATGCATAGCCAAAGCGCCACTCCTGCTTACTTTAAAAAGCAAGTGACTCACTCCCCTATGCATGTCTCATTTTAGTAACTGCCTACAGTCTGCTGCTTCCAGCCTGGGCCCCAATTCAAGGTTGTCTGTCCAAAGATGGCCCTTAAGGAGAAACACAGCCATGGGTACTAAATGGGCCTGTGTGGCTGAGAACAGTGAGTATTGCTGGCCACTATCTTGATATCTGAATGTAAGAGAAAGCCATGCTCCCTAATTCACTGCACCATAGAAAGTGTTAGTGGTTCTGGAAGTATTTGAAAGAACTGGACTCCTGATATATTTGAAATAAAATTCCTTTCTTAAATAGGGCTATTTTGTTGTTAAATACATTGAACATTGGAAGGGGCAGAATTTAATCTTACTAATTAGTGGAAGAGCATTCTATCTATGCAGAGACTTATATTTCCTGTGTCCAGGTGACTTTTCTGGCGAGCCATGCAGAACTGAAGAAAGAAGGGGAGCCAACGAAAGCGCAGAAGTTTGTGTAACTCTCTGGGCTGCACCTAGCACACCCGGGGTTTCATTCCCAGTGGCTGTTCCTGCCCAGGCGGCTTCTCCCTCCCAGCCAGCAGGACTGCCACCTCGGGCAGCACCCACACCGAGCTTTCTCGGGAGGGAGCAGAGCAACTGCCTTTTCACTTTTCTTTTGTGTGTCTTGTGAAACTTGCACTACTTCATACATAAAATTACAAGTTGTTTTTAAGGTAGGAATTTTGCACTGTCTTTCCTTAGGAATCTTCCAGGTCACCCTGAGGAATGGGTATGGATGCTCTTTAACACAATCTGCCCCGGGTTCTAACCAGAGGTGTCAATGGGTCCTCCATTCCCAGAGGATCCATCTGGGGAATAGGGGGCCAACAACTCCTGGGAAGGCCAAATTAGCTCAGCTCGAAGCTGTGGCCACAAAGTTGTCCCCCAACATCTAGAATGCATGCAATTAGTGACAGCAATCATGCACAGACAAGAGGGAAGAACTAGGATAATTTCGTTATTATAAGGTACTCACACTACCTGTGAAGCAATGTATTGTTATTTGAAAGTGGATTTGTATTAATTGTAAATGTATACTGCAAACTCTAGGACAACTACTAAACAAATTTTAAAAGTTAAAAAATAACATGCTATGAAAGGAGAAAAAAATAGAATCATATAAAATTCTCAAAACCACAAAAAGGAGAAAAAGAATGAAAGACAAAAATAGGAATAATGAATAAGGGCAACAAATAGAAAGCAGTAGCAAATATGGTAGATATTAATCCAAGCATATGAATAATCACTTTGAAGGTCTAAACACACCAATTAAGAGAGATTGTCAAAGTGGATCAAAAAATAAGACTCACCTAAATGTTGTCTACAAGAAATTCACTTTAAATATAAAATGCATATAGATTAAAAGTAAATAAATGAAGAAAGATACACCATGCTAACACTAATCAAAAGAAAGCAGG